CACTGTCAATTGAAATTGATTAGTGAGGGATTTTGGTGGTGAAAATGATTTTGGGTTATCCTCTAGAATATTAAGTGTAATATTCTTCAAGGAACTTCCCGGTAAATGGGTTATCCTGAATGTACTAGGGATAGTACTTTTTCAGGAACTTCCCATTTATTGGCATTAATTGCCTGGTGCCTTCTTGAGTAATCAGGCGATATGCACCGTTTGAGTAGACTGTGTCTATCACAAACGGTCCTTCCCATTTGGGTTCGAATTTACCTTTCTTCTGGGAGTTGAGGATTATCGGTCGGCGAGCAGCGAGGACCAGATCTCCTTCCTTGAAGCTTCTCTGTCGGACCCTTTTGTTAAAAGCCCTGGAGATTCTGGCTTGATAAAACTCTATGTGTTGTTGAGCCTCCAAGCGCTTTTCATCCAACCTCTCGAGTTCTCCTTCTGTCGTCATCTCGGTTGCGAGAGCGATCCGAAGGGATGGGATTTGGATCTCCAATGGTAGCACAGCTTCACATCCGTATACCAACGAATACGGGGTAGCTCCTGTAGGTGTGCGTATGGTGGTGCGATAAGCCCAGAGTGCTTCACCGAGTTTATCGTCCCAGTCTCGTTTATTGGTCTTCACGAGCTTTGACAGGATCTTAATGATCGTCTTGTTGAAAGCCTCAGCTAGTCCGTTTGCGGCGGGATAATAAGCTGTCGACGAGACATCTTCAATCTTGAATTTGTCACAAAACCTGATGAAGGCGTTGCTTATGAACTGTGGACCGTTGTCATGAATGATCCGTCTTGGCACGCCGTGTCGGTATATAACATGATGCTTGATGAAATTGATGACGTTGTTCGTCTTCACTTCTCTAAGCGGAATTGCTTTAGCCCACTTTGAGAAGTAATCTGTGATTGCGAGGATGAATCGATCACCTTTGACTGAAGGGGGAAAAATAGGACCAACAATGTCCATACCCCATGTCTCGAACGGCCAAGACGTGGTTGACGTGTGCAACTGCTCTGGCAGTTGATGCATATAATTTGCATGTATTTGACAAGCATGACACTCTC